TGTGCCGTGTTGTCATGTTATGCTGTGTTGTGTTGTCCTGTGTTATATTGTGCTGTGCTGTTATGTTATGCTGTGTTGTGATGTGCTCTGTTGTGCTGTGCTGTTGTGTTGTGTTATGCTGTGTTGTGTGTGTTATGCTGTGCTCTGCTGTGCTATGCTATGTTCTCTTGTGTTGTGTGCTGTGTTATGCTGTGCTCTTGCTCTCCGGTGCTGTGCTGTGCTGTGCTGTGCTCTGCTGTGTTGTGTTGTTTTGTTATGCTGTGTTATCCTGTGCTGTGTTGTGTTATGCTATGTTCGGAGTCTTGAGTAGGCCCACACGGAATCTACACGTGCAGAGTTCCGCAGATTTTTAGCTTATCTTTGACTGTTTATTCACTTGTGTAAATGTGTGTAAATTTACGCAGTTTTTTAAATTATTTCAGTAATATTGTTGATTATTATCAAAATATTTATATGATTTATTTAAAATACAGTGTGTAAAGTCATATTTTCTGTCTTTCAGTAGATCTATTATATGAAAAACTTTATTTGTTTACCATATAAGTGGATCTAATTGGATTTGCATTGTAAACATTAAATCTAGAGTGTGTGTGAAGTTTCAGCTCAAAATAGCACACCGATAATGTTTTCTAACTCTCTGGAACTGACCCTTTCAGGCTCTGATTCTAAATGTGGCGGTTTGGTGACTGTCGCTTTAAATTCAAATGAGATTGTGCTCTTTTCAGAAGAGGGCGGAGCTACAAATGCCTTTGTGTCAGCATAGTGGCTGATAGAAAAACGAGATTAACGTCTTATGCTAATGAGGGAGAGATGGGCACAAGTGGGCGGGGCTTTCCCCCTCTGATGACACGTACAAATGGAGATCGTCAATCAACGTGTTTCTGCAGACTGTTTATATCAAGTCTGACTATAGAAAATAGAATTAATTCATGTTGACCATTAAAGACTGGAGATATTCACACACTCCTGACACACAACTGTGTTTAAACCCCTTATAGAAGTGATTTTTGTATAATGGCTCGGCTTTAATATATGTTATTGTGTGTTTGTGCTGCAGGGACGGTCATGATAAATACGACAGACAGGATCACCGCACTTCCTCATATTCGGCTCCAAAGAAGAGCAAGAAGAACACATGAACGCCTCCATCAGCATATGTAGGTTATTAAAATATTTATCAGTACTGTGTACGTGCTTTTAAACTGCACTAAGAGGAAATATTAATAAACATAGTGTTGCTTAAATGTGCTTTAAACAGTCTTAGACTCATGATGGAGATTTGTGATTATTAATGAACTATATGTGTGTGAAATATGACCATCTATGAATATTAAACTGGATTAAACCTTCAATAAAATACTGAGAGCAGGTCATGGGATCTACCGGACTAGTCATGTGACTTTCGTTCATTTATTTACACATTGACATTTGAGACACTAAAATAGGGACCAAAAATGGTTTGGATGTGAAATTATGATATAAACATCTCATTCATATGGTATAATACACAGGTCTCAAACTCAATTCCTGGAGGGCCGCAGCTCTGCACAGTTTTGCTTTAACCCTGATTAAACACAGCTGATTTAACTAATGAAGGTGTTTGACTCTTTTAAACACGTCTGATTCGGATCAGCTGTGTTTATTGTTTTTTTTTTTAGCTTTTTTTTTTTAAATGAGGACTAAAAATGCTAAAGAAAGTTTATGAAGGCAATCCGTGCATGGGGGCATTTCTCGTCACAACATCGGGACTGCAGATGAACAAAACAAATGAACAAACTAATTGGTCTAATAAAAAATATAAGGTTAAAATATGGAAAAATTGTCAGATGGTAATTTCGGTCAATTTTTTTTCGGTCAATGAATAAACAGCACTCGGTAATATTTCAGCATACTTTCACTATCATATTAAACATGAAATGCACATTTGCCGGTAGAAATGACATCCTGCCCTACTCATCATCCCGATAGGGCCAGTAACCATTCTGTATACTGTCCCGAACGCCTTGCAGACTGGTCCCGGGCCAGTGGGCAGTCCTTATTGTTGAGCCCTGTTATTTATAATTTTTTTGTTTTTTATATATATATATATATATATATATATATATATATATATATATATATATATTACTGCTGTCAATCGATTAAAAAAAATTAACTAATTAATCGCATCTTTTTTAAAAAAATTATCGCGATTAATCGCATTTAAAATACTGAATCTTGTAATTTTGGCTATTCAAATGTAAAATTAATGTAAACGCAAGACAAAAACTATTTAAATTCAAAATATAATTGTTTATTAGAATTAAAATTCTAAATATAATTGTTTAATAGAATTTTTGTTTAACTTGTAACAGATTTCTTCATGTAAACAACATACCCACAATAAACCATCAAGATCCTGGCTTGACAGCCGTATTTATTAAAGAAATTAAACACAGGCATGTTAATGACATTTAAATTTCAAAACAATCAATGGCAATAAAGAAAACATTGATTTCCATGTTGGATTCTAAGTGGACTACAAAAAAATGCCAAAATACAGGAATTGCAGATATGGAAAATGGAAAATTATAATAATAAACTATAGAATACAAACTGTTGCACTCACTGTAAAGTTTTATTGCTGTGAGTTGAGAACATTAATTATAGATTAGAAACCATTTTGCTTAATCCTCCTTTACATTTATCCAGTTACTAAGACTAGGAGTATCCCGCAAGTGCACAGAGACTCCCAAATGCCCGCAAATGAATGATAATTTATCGCAAACCGTTTGTTAAATACATTGCACACCCCTCTCCCCCGCATCCCTCCTAGTTCTTCAGGTATGTCGCGCGCAACTCACCCCCACCGTCTTTTAGGTACGTCTCGCGCGCACCCCTACGTCGCGTGAGACGTAGGGGTGCGTGATATTATATTGTAAGCGTGATATTATATTGTAAGAACGTGATATTATATTGTAAGAACGTGAAAAGTATATTGTACAAACGTGATATTATATTGTAAGAACGCGATAATTATATTGTAAGAACGTGATAATTATATTGTACAAACATGATATTATATTGTAAGAACGTGATATTATATTGTAAGAACGTGATATTATATTGTACAAACATGATATTATATTGTAAGAACGTGATATTATATCGTAAGAACGTGAAAAGTATATTGTACAAATGTGATAAAACTACGATTTTTTTTTTTTTTTTTTTGTTACCTGGGTGGCAGCTCTACGCTTCCGTAGTAACTGCATAAGTACATAGTGCATAAGTGTATAATGTGCCATTTGGGACGCAGCTATGGGCACACGCAAAGCTTGAAGGTAAACAAACAACGGCTTATCATAAGCATCTTATCGATAATTATTTACACAGTGTGCATTAAGATGAACAAATAAACGTGATCTGACCAACTTCTAGCTGCTGAATGTGTCTGGGAAAATATTCAAAGGCTTTTATTCTCATAAACCGCACGGACGTGAATGCGTCTGACTGTTGTGATTGGCTAAAGCAGACGTCTCACGTCAGCACGTTCTAGACGTGCACGCGCTTATTACGGTAATCTTCCTTCTGCGTTCACACAGCGCAGCATTCCGGCAAATTACCGGTAATGTTACAACTTCTCTTTCCGGAAAATAGCCAGAACGAATTTACCGGTATTTTCAAAAAGGGCCTGTTCACACATACACATCCTCCGGAAAATTTTCGGTAATTTCCCGTAAAGGTCTGTATGTGTGAAAGAGGCTAATGATAATAAAATAGTTTGGACTGCAAAATATAAAATAATTGTCTTATTATGCAGTTACTACAATTTTCATTGCACACTCATTCATAGCACATCTGGAATCTTTGTTTCCGGGTTGAAATGTTTTGCCTGCAGGTTAAAGAAACATCTCTAACTCCATCATAGAAAAATATCCAAAGAGGCCATTTTGAAATGTAAAGAAATCTGTGTTTTGAAGACAGCAGAAGTCAGTGATTCAGCCTGACATGTTCACTGCTCCAAAATATTATAAACGTTTCAATCAATAAAACATATTGGGTTCAAACGGGGAAAAAAAGTTTTAGATTTTAATCCAGATATTTTAAAAGAATATATTTTGGAGCAGTAACCACAATCCCGGGAGATTGTGAAACAAGCAAGATTATCACACCGTCAGAATCTTACACCGGCCCTTGCCTACACACAACACAGACACAGAAACGCACGCATACACGCTGTCATACACAAAGATTGTTCACACATGCTAACTCACACACACTGATGGATGATGGGAAGTCCAGCAGCAGGTGCATTATTCCTGTCTGTCTGTCTGTCTCACATATTAAAAATACATGCAAAGCTTTTAGTCAGCGCACACATCAGCTTATGTGTACTGTACTGTCAATTTATGACCACATACTGTGTGTGTGTGTGTGTACGTGTTTTTGTGACATATCAGGACACAAATTTGTATAATGACATGGGTATGACACAGGTATTACAAAAAGGAGGTGAAATATGAGGACATTGGTGACGTCCTCATTGGTCAAAATGCTTATAAATCCTACAGAATGAGTTTAATCAGAGTAAAGCTGCACACAGTCTCCTGTGATGGTTGGGTTTAGGGGTTGGGTGAGGGGTAGTGTCCACGCACTAGATTGTTTTTCAGACAAACATAATCAGGACTTACAAAATGCCTTTAGACTTTAGTTTTTTAAATTATTTTATTATATCTGTCATCACAAGACTTCACACTTACCTGATGATGGATTATACAGCTTGTTTGGCATGCTGTTCCGGGAAAGAGCCCTTAGCTCAGAATATCCTCGAGTCCCGGGCTCCCTCCCGTTTAAAGGGTAAGAGGGAATTAGAGCTCAGTTAGATCTCTAGAACTCCCCTGCGTATTTGTGGCTAATGACGGATTACTTTATGAGGGAGAAATAATGTCGGCTAAGAACTTGACTATGGTGCCAATTTGGTTTAGTCAATTCACCTATAGCGCATGTCTTTGGTTAGTGGGAGGAAAACATAGACTGTAAAAGATATCGATGTTGGATCTGTGACATCCCCCATAGGTTTCTGAAGAACGCAAAAGAAGCTACAAGTAAGCGTGGCCAACCATTGGCATTTTGTCATCGCACCGACTGGGGGTGACTGAAAAAGGGCAAAGAGGCGGAGCGTGAGCGGAGCTATAGACGCCTGCTAGCATTTTGCTTAGACGGGCTTTTCTTTAGGAGAAACGCGGAATACTTCTTTACCAGCGACTCGATTGTGTTCTGACCACATGGATGCACACTATATAAATAAAGTGTTTAGTCTTTTAAAACACTGCTGTAACACATTGAGCCACTAAACATTGTTCTTATGCAAACACTTCAGATAAAGGGCCCTATCATACACCCGGCGCGATGTGGCGCATGACGCAACGCAATTGCTATTTGCTACTTTCACCTCGGCGCAAGGGTCATTTTGAGGCGTTGCACCACACTGTTTAAATAGCAAATGCATTTGCGCTCATATGTGTGGCCATAGGCGTTCTGGTCTCAAAAAGCAGGCCTGTTTTGGCGCGTTGCTATTTTGAGAAACTGTAAATAGTCTGTTCTTTAGACCAGAACAAAGTCGGTCTATTGTCTGGCGCAAAGTGCGCCTGGCTTACACACTACAAACAAGATGTAGAGCAATACGCAAATATCTTTACATATGAAAAATATATAATATATTAAGGATATATATAATAAGGATATATATAGGATATAAATATAAAGGATTAAAATATTACAAAACATATTAATATCTAGCCAACATGAATTTTACAAACCACTGCCCTGAATCCTTCATCTCGGGAGGCTTTTTCAGTTCATTCATTTTGCTTTTGTATAATGTTGTTATTATTATTAGCAGTATTATTTATTATATCCATATTTATATTTGTTTTATTAAAAACAAGCTTAGATTTGTCCACCTGTCAGGTTTTAGACCATACGGGGCACAGCATGTGTATTAGGATATAACTCAGTTGTTTGACCACACTTGGTTATTATTATTCATTTATTCGTTTGCTGGAAATTAGAACTGAATTTAGCAATAGTTTTGAAACAAATCTTTGCGCTTTACAAATTAAATTAATTATTTATAGGCTAATTGATGTGTGTGTGTGTAAAGGTTTCCCTATCCACGAGAGCAAAAGCGAAAGTGAACTTACTTTACACCATGTAAATAGCGAATGCGCTTATGGCGC